TTAACCTTAAATGAACCACTGTTGATAGACTGAAATTAATAGTCATCTGCACCTAGAGTTTTAAGCCTCATTTCAATCCGAAATACAATCTACTTTGCAGTTGTTTGACTACTCAGTCAGAAATAAACCCAATTGAATATTCCTCATCTTTATGTGAAAATTCAAGTTGTGGGCGATGTTATGTTATAAAACCTTTACGACACATTTTTAAAGCAATTAGTTCCCTCTTATGAACTTTGACAGAACAATAAGAAGACGTAATTTCTCTGACACATGCACTGTCCACTCGCGCATAAAAACGTGTTAGGTATTTTTCGACAGAGAAAGAAAGACCAGATTTTCAGTATAAAATGATATCGTCATTCTATTTCACGGGTTGCCCTCATCAGCTGCAGACTACCTGAAATTACAATGGTTATATAGATGATAATAACATACTTTAATGTCTAAGTGGTAGTAGAGAAGAAAAAATACTATAAAACTGACGCATCCAAAATGAAAGCATTACAATTTTTAGTTTAAGTTTTCATCATCAGTCTATATGCTTTCAAAGTAGAAGAGAGGGGGGAGGGGTAAGACAGAAAACAGAAAAAATTAATTAACAGAACAGTGTTAGCTTGTAGGTTCACATAGCAACTCAAAAAACAAAAGCGGTTACAGTTTATGAAAATAAGATTTGTTCAGTGAGTTGAGATCACTGAATTAGATGACTAATTAATGTAATCAAAATCGAAATTCAGTGATTTCAACTCACTGAACAAATCTTAATCTCATAAACTGTAACCGCTTTTGTTTTTTGAGTTGCTATGTGAACCTACAAGCTAACACTGTTCTGTTAATTAATTTTTTCTGTTTTCTGTCTTACCCCTCCCCCCTCTCTTCTACTTTGAAAGCGTATAGACTGATGATGAAAAGTTAAACTAAAAATTGTAATGCTTTCATTTTGGATGCGTCAGTTTTATAGTATTTTTTCTTCTCTACTACCACTTAGACATTAAAGTATGTTATTATCATCATCTATATATAACCATTATAATTTCAGGTAGTCTGCAGCTGATGAGGGCAACCCGTGAAATAGAATGACGATATCATTTTATACTGAAAATCTGGTCTTTCTTTCTCTATCGAAATTTATCAAGGGAACCAAATGTATGAAATTTTTGAAAAGACGTTAGGTAATTGTTTGTTCAGACGCATTCAAGGTACATGTACAGAGGACAGCATTGAAGAAGAAACATGAAGCCTCACTAGCATATTGTTAGATAAAAAGTATTCTCTGAAATTCACCCAGCTCTGGAGAAGCGTCTAACAAAGGGCTCCACCGATCCGGTCAAAGGTAATCAACAAAGTCTGATCACTAAACAAAGACTAATGCCGGCGCTTAACAGAAATTACGACGCAGCTTAAGTCACTTTCATAGAGAAAACGAGATCATAGAATCCAAACTTTAGATTCACATCCTACTGTGCTTACCAATTCACATTCATGTACGATCACACGTAGACAAGGACTAATCGGTCTCTGCAAGTTAGGCCTACAGAACCCAAGTGAAAGTGGCTGCAACAACAAATAAAATCAGAGGATACAATTAACACTGTAAATGGATGTCCAGGATCACAGAAACAGGTCACAAGGTTGTTTTTATTAAATCCTTTAAACCCATATACAAAACAAGCTTGGGTCAAATACTTAAATTCACTGAAGCCTTAACCATAAAATGGCTCAAATCTGTCACAACTATGAATCTGCCTTGGTAATACAATTCTAGGACGAGGATTCAATTCCATCGCTTGACTTGATTGGTATTAGTATTTTCCATATTTCCAGTATGAATGATGAGTCATTCCTATTGCATGTGTTGCGCGTAGACTCGATGATCAAGGATAGATAGAATAGAATAATCCTATTATGATTATTGTTAGGTGGGTGGTGCCTTGATATGATTATGAGTGGCAATAAATTGTGCTCGGAACGTGGTCATCAGTAAATATTACTGTATAACACTGTGAGACTTTATCTAAATAAATTTTACCTACAATGGAATTATACTCTACCGCCAAAGTGCACAAGTTTTATTCTTATATCGAGGATTCAATTCACCTAACAGTATTTTCACCGTCTTTTTTAATAACCCTATATTATTGAGACATCTTCCTGCATCTTATATGCGACCTTGACCTGTATTGTAATTATTTATCCTTCTTTAATGAGAATGCTAATCTATCAACTTTGATCACAGATTGGTATCAGTTAGCGAACCATAGAAAACCAACCGAGGCGTATTGGACAGCTGTTTCGCACTAGTTTGGTACTCATCGGTAGGACACACCCACTGACAGGGTCCGAACCAAGGACCTTCCGTTTAAAGGCAAGCTAGTAAATTATTCAGCCCCAGGAACTCGACCCCAATGGCCTATGAATTCCAACTTCTACCAATTCATGATTTTACAGTGACCACCAGCAGATATCATTGCTGGAGAGTATTTGCTCTCACTCTCAACCGGGTGGACCCCGCTGGCCACAACTTCTCACTAGAACTCAAGACAAATTCGTCCTGCAGTCAGTTACGAGCCAGTATCAGATTTGAAACAAATCAAATGCCTACAAATAAACAAACTGCTGGAAACTAATCTCTGAGTCTAGCTAGTTTGGAATGCCACTTATTCCAAGATAGATCTAGTCTAAAACCAATAACACCTGTAAATATTGATTAATACGAAACAGTTATTTCGTGTCAGTTTATTATACATCCTGCACACACTTGTTAGTGAATAATATTCGAATACAATATTGGGTCATCTTTAAAAGTGAACACACTGTATACCAAACACCTGTAATTTTCCGATTAAGAATGAAGTATAACAATCATCTAGAGTCACTGATTAGTGAGTAGTTGCCTTCATACCAGTCAGGAGTCAGGATATCCCTCGACTCCATCCCTAGCAGACTGTCTCATGACAAGACTTCAGAATGCTCCACTTAGGTCAACTACTTGTAATTTTCAATTGTATGCAAGTAGATACATGGATAACATCTTTATTATCTGTGATAATAGTCATCATCTTAACCAACTGTCAACATCACTGACACCCAGAAACAAAGTTTACTCTTGAAATAGAAAATGAACCTTAAAAATTCCGTTTCTTGATATTGAACTGACAAGAAGAGCTAGCGTAACTGTCACAAAGTCCATCATATAGGAAACCCAAATGGAACGGCTAGCTGACAAGTTTCTGCAGCTGTTTACCAATTAGTCATAAACGAAACTTAATGATATATCGTGCTACTCGCGTCCGACGATGCATCTGCAGCCCTCATTCTCTGGAAAAAGAATTGCACTTTTTGAAAGAAATCTAAATGTAAGACTGATATCCACCAAGATTTCGTGACAAGAACATCAAGCCAAAAATTCAAAGACAAGAGACGCTAATCGTGCAAAAAAGGAAACTTTACATGAAACTCTACTTCAAAGGTGACCTACTCAGGGACGTTCTAAAGAAGAGAATTTCGGCTTCTTTGAAAAAAGCTTTCTTTACAGCGACGCTGAGACTAGTGTTCTCCAGTCGCCCACTGGACCACTTCCATCTGTCTATATCAGTTCACCTGCTCTTGTGGAGCCAGGTAATATATTGGTCGTACAACGCGTATGTTGTCTAAAAGGCTTCACGAACACTATTGTGCATCGTTACAGAAAGGTAACAGTGGCTCTATGAGGAGTGACATAATTGAACACCTTGTCAACACTGATTGTTCTGTCTCAACAAACACCTCCTTCAAAGCAGCCCACAATACGCTTTCACCTTCTTTGCATCGCTGAAGCTCTAAACATTAAGATCGAGGGACCAAAGATATGCATACAAAAGAAAGTTATTCAACCACTTCTACTATCATGGTGACAACCTTATTGATTCGTAATAACTTGATTTTGTTTGTTTTCCAACTCTGTATAACTCTTGCGTAATTTCATATTTTCCTTCGTATCTACGTGCATCCTGGTTACAACTCGTTCATTAAATTATTCACCTTATTACGTAACTCAAATACCCTCACACTCAATTCACCTTATGCACCAACTAATACTGACAATTATCATTATGACAACTCATCGCTTTTGCTACCATCGTCTTTCATGAAAAGTGATTGTATACATAGATGCGATTGCACAGCTTAGTGAATGAATTCGCCGAAAAGAGACTCTTCCCTGAACTACGTACTTTCCTTTCGTTAATGTCTGGATGGCGATTATTAGTCACTGACAGTCTACAAGATATATGTTCGTGACCACCAGTGGGGTACAGCAGGTCCGGTGTGACGATAAATACTCACCAGTGATGACATTGGCTAGCGCCAGTCACACTATATCGTGAATTAACAGAAGTTAGTATTCATGGGCTGGCCACAGAGGTGTCACGTCCCAGTGGCTGGCTAAATGGTCTTCAAGCTCGCTAGCCTTGTTACTGGAAGGTCGTGAGTTTGAACCCTTGCACTGAGTGCGTACCAATGAAGAGTCCCAGTCCAGTACTCCTAGGTTTTCCGATGGTTCTCTAACCCATCTCACGCCATAATGAGATTCCGTAGCCAAGATACCTGTTTTTGAATGAAAGAAACTACGAAATAGAGATCTTCCTCTTATCCCAAGCTATTATTGTTTTGTTTGTTCATATATATTTGTGCTAATAAACACAAAATAGCTTATTAAAGCAAACACCACACCTCCTTAACAATAAACTAGACACTGTATGCATAGCAAAAAGACTGAGTGTTGATTGACGTTTACTAAAAGTTGCATATTGAAAAAATCTCTTTCTACAATCATCACTGTCACCAACATCATCATCATTATCAAGTGTAATTTTACCAAAATGAGTACTGTTCAAAAAAGCATCAACATTGATGAATTTTGTTAAATGCTCGGATAAGTCTGCTCATCACATCATTGGCAGCAGGGTGTGAAGGGGAGGGGGACGGCGAATGGTGTTGTACATTTATGATTGCCTTCTTCAATTCCATGCATTCAATCCCATTACTGTTAACATTTGTGAATCTATAGATTCCTAAAACAAACAAAATCATTAACATTACTCAACCACCAATTGAGATATACACATACCAATTCTGAGAGTACATCATTCAACTGTTTCTTAGCTGTTGTAGTATCCTAAAGAAAGAAAGAAAAAAACAACCCAGTGTGATTAGATTAGATTAGAGATTTAGAGTAAAATGATGATGAAATGTGCAAAAAACACAACAAAAACAAAAGAAGAAAAATAATGTTTACCACAGAAAGGCCCATATACTGGTCGACACGTTCAGATAGGAGTGCTCTGCGTTCTTTTAATTCTTTAATTTCCTAAACAAAAAATGTTATTGTGAGTGAAACATAATGCACACACACACACACGCACCTTGGACCAGGCAACTAGGACACGATGATCGAGTACTCTTCCAGTTGATGCTATAGATTTCTATAAAGGAGAGAAAAATGAAAAGTGAACAATAATTAACAATAATAATAATAATGACATGAATAAGGCATTAAGAAGACAAATTTCGCGAGATGATATCATTTACAACCGCTTTACAACTAACATGGTTAACCTACCATTCAAGGGTGACCAGATTATGCAGTTGACAGCTAGCTCAAAGACTTCGATCAGCCATCAAACGCACATTCTACGCCGCCACATCTCTTTTTCTCACTTGCCGAACATTTTCGATCCCTGTACCTACGATTAAAGGACGAAATTCTGTGGACTCCACTTCAAACTGTATCTACAAGTGCACCTGCAGCTGCGGTGACACCTATATAGGTAGAACCAATAGAATGTTCCAATGTCGTCGTCGAAAAGAACATGTTCCAAAATGGCTACTAAATCATATAGATAATCCCAATGCGAGTAATCTGAATAGAAATCCAGCAACATCATCCATTGCAAAACACTTATTAATGTCAGGTCACAAAATCAATATTAATGACTGTTTCACAATTATTTCACATAACTCTAATTCAGGGTTGGTTATTGAAGGTGATGGAAGCACTTTGGATTAATCACATACAGCCTAAACTGTGTGTGCAAAAAACAATAGACTTCAATCTTCGCCTACCATGGACTACTTGACCTATTTAAATGATGATTGGTCATTAGTATGTACTTTTGTTTTTTATTTAACTGAGTAATTGTCATGAACTTTATTTTATTATTGTTAACCATGTTAGTTGTAAAGCGGTTGTAAAGAAACTACGAAATGATATCATCTCGTGAAATTTGTCTTCTTAATGCCTTATTGAAATTTATCAAAGGGATTAATTGTTTTAATAATAATAATAATTTTCTATAGTTTGGTTTGTAAAGGTTAGTTTTGTTTTTACGAGTTGATCACGGATTGTGATATCAGTTAGAGAACCATTGAAAACCAATCAGGGAGTACTGGACAGCTGCTGTTTCATCCTAGTGGGTGCGTACTGCCGATGACTCCTGAACTAGGCTGATGAAACAGCTGTCCAGTACTCCCTGGTTGGTTTCCAATGGTTCTCTAACTGATATCAATCTGTAATTAACTCGTAAAAATAATAATAATAATAATAAGGTACTTACGCTTAGAGATTTATTTTGTTGTGACAAAGATTTTGACATTTTTGAATACCTTTCTTTAATCAATTGTAAAGAACGCATTTCTGATTTGACACCATCTGGAGATAGACGATACTCTTTTGAGAATCTACAATTAAAATGTTTTTTTTTTGAAACGAATGAATCTGTTTTATTTATTTGTTTAAGTAATCGTCTATCACTTCGTTCAATAAGCCATGCATAATGTTAAGGTTAATGACATTCCAGGAGTTGTCTAGACCAATTACTGTTCCTTCGCCTAATTTTTTTTACAAATAAAGGGAAAACTGTTTTCACTTAACTTTGGACTTTCATTGAAGGCTTTTAATGATCCTAAACAGTTTGCTTATAAACGTAGTAGGTGTACTTTAGATGACGCTATCGCCTTACATAATAATATTGTCTCTAGTTTAGACAGAGGTGCCTTCGACTCTTTACCTGGTCTTCCTCTGTCAGACAAGCTTGTCATGCAACACAAGCAGGGTGTTGGATGAATAAATGGCTGCATTCTTATGTTCCTGTATATAACGTGAAGTCTTCAACTGCTTTACTTTTTCTAACCGGTGTTCCTCAACGTGCTACTTTTTTTCACATAACTTGCCCCAGTCTGATGAAGCCGATTTTGTTAAGTATGCCGATGATCTGACTGTTTCTATGCCGGCGGTTACTTCTCAGTGAGACTGTTCCAAAATGAATAACTTCTTATCATAAATTAATCAGTGGTCCTTCCTTGTCAAATCGTATTAAGCTTAAGTCCTTCCAAATGTCAGGTAGTTAATTTTACTTTTAGACGCAAGTGCCATTTGCATGAACTGCTTAGTTTGCATGATTCTAGTATTACGGATGGCACAGAAGTTGAGACTAAGTCGAATGTTAAATACATTGGATTGTGTATTTCCTTTGATCACCTTTCCTGGTCTTCCTGCATCATGTTAGTTTACAGAGAGATATTTCGTTCGACGTTCTGTGTAAGTCTCTACCTTTACAGCTTGTTAGTTATTGTATTCTACCTACTTTGCTTTATTGCTCCCCCCCCCCTCCTTAATCTTTCCTCAGCTACTTAAGAAGGACTTTGTTACATTTCAAATGGCATCAGAAGCTCTCAGTGAGGCGAGTGGGGTGTGGTTACACCAATTTGTTAACACTGTTGTAGATAAACACAAGAACTCGTGCAAAAAATTAATGAAATCCTCCACCCAATCAAATAAACAAAATCCCTACAAAACCAATACTTGAAAATTCATCTGATGCTAACTACCGAGTGGTTCTATTCATGCAGTTAACCTTGGAGTTCTAGTGGAAAGCTGTGACCAGTAGGGTAAAGCAGGTTGAAGGTGAGGCAGTAACTCATAGAAGAGGACAATGTGAAGTCTGTCTGTCTTTCTGGATTCAACATGGAACTTGGCACCGAAGTGCAGCAGTTACAGTTGCCACATTCCAAATAGCACACAAAGGTAGACAAGAAAGTGAGTGAAGAGAATCAATAGAGTTTTGACAAGTATAAGAGTGAAACAGAATGAGTAATGCTACAAAGGAATATGAAAGATTAAAGAGACTGAATACATCTGTGTAAGCCATTGACAACAATTTTGAGCCATGTCACCTATTGTCTCCAGCCACTGATTTTTAGAGTCCCGAGGGCCCCAACCCGGAAGTCTCCATCTCCCTACCTGACTCAGTTTAACTGTCAAGGATTTCATGGATTGATGCCATGTTTTTGTTTGGCCACAGCGGTTAGGACGCTCGCCGACCATGCACATGGTCCGGGGTTCGATCCCCAGCCGACGCACTCCTTTACCTCGCTAGACCAGAAATAAAGCTGATAAAGAGGAAAGGTTAGGAATGAGGCTAGCAACCCCATCCTGTAAAAATAAACACTGCTACAGAAACTTCAAGCCTCCAGCATGAAGCCCTATGTTCCACTGGGAACGTGAAGGAATAAAAAAAATACAATCCATGGTACAATAATGAACCTCTGTAAGTTACCCTGATATTTCCCGACCGAAACCTGCTACCTTGACGTGGTGGTCGCGCTTGAACACCGCAATCACCCAACAAGCTATACTGGCTGAGACTTATGTCGCTTGAGGTCCTACCATGCCAGAAAGGTTGTTTGGATAGCGGTTAGACAAAAAGCAGTTACCCAACTCAATGCTATGACTCAAAGTAAATCACAAAATATCATGCCGGACCGGTCGGGGCCCGGATTAACAACGACCGCGCTTCCTGCTGCCGTGTCACAGGGCCGAAGTGATAAATATGCTACTGAAACACACCAAATGGAAAAGAACAAACAATGTGAAGTGGTTACCCTACGTCATGAATTGGTAGAAGTTAGAATTCACGGGCTGGCCATTGAGGTGTCGGGTCCCAAAGGCTGGCTTAATGGTCCAGGAGCTGGCCAGCCTTGTCACCAGAAGATCCTGGGTTCGAATCCCGGTCGGTACGTACTGATAGCGAGTCCCGAACGAGGACGAAACAGCTGTCCAGTACTCCCAGGCTTTCCAGTGGTTCTCCAAATGGATGTCAGCTCATGATGAGATCCTCCAACTAGTGAATATTATCTTGTCAGACCCTAAGCATCCTCTCTATGAACAACTCTCTCTTTGCATCTCATCAGGCAGCAATAGAAGCAACTATTTTTTATAAAAAACTTTAAGCTCGGACGACTGAGTATAAAAGCTCTACAATACCTTATTTGGTGCACATTTTATGCGGTGAGAAAAGTGTCAGGATGACACCACTAACTTACTGTGGGACAGTTAGCAAAGGGCCCTTTTTCCATTATTATATCGATGATAATATTTTCACTAAATGTAACTTTATATTCACATTGAACAAGATTATCAATGTAAATGCCCTGTTTTAATTAGTACCTCTGTAGTGAGAAACACAGATGCAATGCTGTACTACATGCTGAGAATTCCACAATCGTACGGAATAAATCCATTATTATTATTATTATTCAGCAGATAAAGGAGAGTTCGGGAAAGGTTTCGCAAGAGAAATGCCTCGACCAACAGGCTAATAAGCTCTACAAAAAATTTCCTTACACCTATAACAATCTCTTCGAACAATGAGTACATAAAGTTAAGCCTCCATATGCTTCTGTTGTCTTATTTCACCCAAAACACCCTTCCTACATGTTCATTCCAATGAATCAGGATTTATGAAATCTAACAACTGAGAAAGTTTAATTCTATAAAAAAGAATTTCAATACGTCGATTTCATGACCACTGTGGTGAGCAATCGAACTACTACAAACAACTTTTGCACCTTAATATATGTGTACAACTTGGGCACTGTGGTAGTAACTAATTCCATATTAGTTTGTTTATCAGATGTATTACACAGTGGGAAACAGTATTATTTACTGGATGACACAGTTTCGAACACAATCTAGTATTGTTCATAATCATTTCATCAATTATAATCACACGACTTCGAAACTTGAGGTTTAAAGTTTTCTTTGTCTTTTCCTGTTTGCCGTAGGGGTATTAGGAGGAATAAAAGTGGCTGGTATTCAAACCCACAAACTCAATTAGAAACAAGCTTTGTCGGTTAAAAGATCCTGCTGTGGAGCCGTTAAAACAAAACAATTTAGTTTATCTAATATCCTGGCATGCGATGATTGTCAGGTAAAATACATAGGTCAGACTAGTAGAACAGGGGCAGTCAGTCAGACCAGCCGAACATAAAAATCTAGCAAAATCTAGATTAGTTGACCCGAATAAGATATGAAATCTAGAGAATATTTCAGCTCATTACTCACTACATGCAATTACACACAACCATACAATAGGGTGGGATAAAATGGCAGTTTTAAAATCTAATGTCACAGGGTGAATGGAGGGAGAGATTGATAGCGGAAGCTTTGTTTATCGAATCAACTGCAAATACATGTAATAGGAATGATTCAACACCTGTCCAAGATATCTGGAAAATTCCAATACCCCTACGACAAATAGGAGAAAACAAAGAAAACTAAAAAACTGAAGTTTCGAAGTCGCATGATTATGAACAATAAATTTTGTTCAAAACGTCATCCAGTAAATAATATTGTTTCACTGTGTGATACACCTGATAAACAAACCAATATGGAATAACATTTGTACCTATCTATCAGTGGCAAGTTTCTTAGAATGTGCTAAGATATGTAGTCACAAAGCCTTGTTTCTGTCCATCCGATGGATGTTTTTTTTATCCTTCACATTCCCCAGTGGAACATAGGGCTTCAAGCTAGTGCCTTGAAGTTTCTGTAGCAGTGTTTATTTTTACAGGATGGGGTTGCTAGCCTCATGCCCATCCTTACCTCTTCACCAGCATTATTTCTGGCTTAGCGACGTAAAGGAGTGCGTCGGCCGGGGATCGAACCCCGGACCATGTGCATGGTCGGCGAGCGTCCTAACCGCTATGCCACCGATGGATGTGCTTTGGGATATACATGTAAACTAGTATATACAGTTTGGAGGCAACATAAGAGGGGTACTTGTCAACCTTAAATTGTCTCAGTTAGTACTTACTTCGATAATATTGTGACTAAACATAGGAGCTGGATAAGTTTGTTTGACAGCATCATTTATCCTATATTTAATTCCTCCAAATTATTATTATATCTTTTAATTCCTAGAGGAAGATAAGGTTTCAGCCGTGCGTCTCCATTGAGTTCGGTTCTCTGCTAGAGTCTTCAACTGGCTCCATGTCTGCCCACACGTTTTCATCTCCTCTTCACATGACCTCTTCCAAGTTACCCTCACACTGACGACCAACTCACCGCTTCCCTTTCGGGTTCCACTCGAGCAATGGCTTGTCTAGTGATGTCACTTGATGGTTTGTTGTCTCAGAGTTTGGCCAATCCATCTCCATTTCCTTCTGCATATTTGTTTCACAATCGGTTCCCGGTTGGTTCGCTCATTGCCAGAGATCTCTGTTGCTGATCTTTTCTGGTCGGCCATCTGATCTTGAGTATTGAGCGAAGACAACTGGTAATGAAGGTCTGTAGTTTGTTTGAGATGCTCTTTATGACGCGCCAAGTCTCTGATCCGTATAGTAGCACTGACTGACTTCACAGTGGAGTTGAAAATCCGGATCTTATTTTTCATGCTGAGTAGTGCTGTTGACCTCCACACAGACTTGAGAGTAGTGAAAGCTTGTCTTGCTTTTCCGATTCTTACTTTGATATCATCGTCAGTTCCGCCTGTAGTTGAAACTATGCTTCCCAGGTAGGTAAAAGAGGTTGTTTCTTTCAGGTTCCTCTTATTTATGCTGATTGTTGTCTGTTGTTGTTGTTGCTGTTGGTGGTGTTGCCCAGAAATCTTCATCACCTCTGAAGTCCTGTCTTCTCTGGATGCTTCTTCTGCCAACTTGTTGCTTTTCACTTGCATATCTTCCAGTTTGTGGGAAATCAGACATATATCACATCGGCGAAGTCCAGATCCTCCAAGTTTTTTGTGTGAGTCCATTTTATGCCTGTTTCCTCATTTTCCACTGTTTGTCGTATTATCCAGTCTACTGCAATCAGGGAAATCATTGGCGATAGTAGGCAGCCAGCTTGTCTTACTCCTGTCCTCACTTCGAAGGGTTCCGTAAGTTTCCCGTTGTGGATTACTTGGCATGCAACATTGTCGTACATCTGTTGGATGAGATGTATAATTGTCGGTGGCACCCCGTAGTAGCGAAGTAGTTTCCAAATCACCTCTCGATCGACGCTGTCAAAGGCCTTTTCAAAGTCGATGAAGTTGAGATAGAGAGGTGACTGCCATTCCAAGCTTTGTTCAATGATGATCCGTAATGTGGCGATCTGATCAATGCATGACTTGTTTCTCCTGAATCCAGCTTGTTCCGGTCGAAGTTTTTATTCCAGGGCTTGTTTGATTCTCTCCAGGATGATGCGGCTTAGTATTTTGCTTGGGATGGACAGGAGCATAATTCCGCGCCAGTTCTTGCATTGACTTAAGTCTCCTTTCTTTGGTAGTTTGAATAAGTATCCTCCAAATACTTCATCACTATTGAGTACATGATTAAGGAAAACTGATTTCTTTTCTCAATTGTATCAAATTTTGCTTATGTTTATATGTGGTATTTCCTTGCATTTATCAATGGATTTTTGAGGTTATCCGCTGTCTCGTAAACACTATTCAATGATGGCAAGTTCATCATTTAGCCCTTCTTTTAAACAAAGTTTTCAAAGAGGTAGGATAGTATTCTCACTAGGCCTCTTTTAGTAGCTTATTGGACAAAAAAACTATTTAAATTCAGATATAGTACATTCCAGAATTCTTTAGGATGAATATATCCTTTTATATTTTCATGTGTATTTCGTAAGAGTCCGAGATCCAGACAACGGAACTTTCTATTTTCTTAATATTCCATATTTATATGGGCCTTGTTGAATAAGTCAAGCAAATGAGAACATGTTTAATAATATCGTTTCATCAAATAATTACACAAATATCTCTTGTCAAGTGTTACATCACTTATTGCGTGTTTCAAGCTTGCCTGCTCAGGGTACCCCATGGAGGATGGCATGCGGCAATATAAGCTTGAAAAGTGCTTCTTTCATCTCATCTCCAATTGCACAGACCAATTTACATTTACATGCTAAAGTACATTCATCGGACGAACAAAAAGAAGGATTTGTGATCGCATATCTAAGCCTAATCCAAGAGAGTGCAAAAGTCCTTAGTAGTTCGACTACTCGTCACAGATGTCATGATATCGATGCATTAAGATAATTAAATTTGAAGACAGCTCCAGATTGCTACGTATCATTGAGGTGATTGACATTAAACGACTAAATTCTTGAAAGCATCAGTGTAAGATGAATAGAAAATATTTTCGGATGGAGACATTTTTCGTGAAAAACACGTTATTTATCCACAAAAGGTAGTAAAGGCCACTCAAAGCACTACACAGTCATGTACAGAAATATTATAAAAAGAATCAGCAGCACACAACACAATGAGTGGAATACAGATCGCTGAGTAAATAAATATGATTAAAACGATAGAACAGACGAGCATGCATATTACCATTTCTATTAGTTTTCACTATATATATTACTCTGCATTCAACATAAGGAACAAAATTCGGATTTTCAACATTAATGTTCAGTCATTCAGTGCTTCTATATAGATCAGAAACTTAGAGAACACGTAAAGAAAAGCATTTTTAACAGCCAGCTGCAAACTTTTATCAACAGCCGCCTCCTTCACTGGCTCCACATTGAAGAATTAGCAACAAGAAACTTTGGGAACCTATTGCACAACAAATATGTAGAAGAAAATGGAGGTGGATCGGACAATGGAGACGTTGGATGTTGTCACCCACCAGGCAGTCCCTGGATTGGGACCCGAATGGGGAGCAGAGAGTTGGGCATGGCTCTGAAGTCGACATAGAGAGGATCGTGTGAGGAGGATATGACAGGCTTTGGACAATCGTGCAACCACTCAAAGAGGACAGCAGAAAACAGCACAAAATGAAAATGTTCCCCACTTGGAACCCAAGGGAATAATAATAGTAATAATAAATGAACGTATAACAGGCTTGATGTTAAGATAACATGAGTAGGAAAACCACCCGTCTAAATACGCGAGCGTAAAGAAAAGTAACATATTACATTAGCAGCACTATAGTATGAGAGATAGTGGGTTACAAAATGGTATAGGAAGCCATATATTGTTTTTTTAGCAAATTACAATTCCTTAGAAAGAACTTGACCATTGATTTCCTAGACTGAATATTCGAATCTGAAGTATAAGAATCTATTTCGACAAACAGCCTCTAGAAATAATCATCAATGATGTCTACTATTGTTTATTATTCCAGACTTGTTATTTGGGTGACGTCGACAGATGTCTATTCTTTAAAGAAAACTTATCTTTACTGTTGATCTTAACGTGACGATGCTGGTAGGATAGAATGATGTATACGTAATGTACTCAAATGACTTGAGCCCCCAAAAAATTTTAATTTTTTCATTATTATTGTCCAGTTACATGCTATTCAATACTAATTGGGCGGAGATACGAGGCAGGTACTGACGTGCGGATGTGATCTATACATTTAACAAACTTGAATGGAAATTCGTTCATGGTGGACTGTAAGAAACACCTCTATGTTCCTGAAACTCTTAGAATGTGCAGGAGCTGAAGAACAAGTTAGAGGAGAAAAGTTTAAATAAAGACTTATACGTGGACGAAGTGCGAATATCTGAAATGATACTGTTGTGATATACAATTCCACCTTATATAAGTACTACGACTTAGACAAACGCTTTGGAAGATTCTTAGCATTTTAAGTAGGTAATACCTTGACTTTCTTAAGAAGCTAGGACATTTAAATCAGGAATTGTGGTTTTGTAGACACTATAATTTGCATCCAGTCCAATGGATTGGAAAAGATCATAATGATGAGATCACTTATTTTTTGGATAGAGCTCACCACTTCTCTACCTGGACCGACTCAGTCCAGGAGATCAAACTACTCTTGAAGAACTGTACATTAAATTAACACAGATTGGATGCATGGATACTAAAGATTTTAACAAGTGAATAATAACACAGTACAATAAGTTAGTAACCTCGCCTTGGTAATTGGGTTCCCTTGGCTGTCAGTGAGGCGTTTGGAGTAAACACAGGAGTCAGACAAGGGTGCTTATTATCACCACTGATATTCCTAATTGTGGTGGACTGGATTATGCGTCAGACAGTGGGAAACCAGAAGACAGGGATATCCTGGACCGACGTGAAGAACCTAAAAGACCTGGATTTCGCGGATGATTTATGTTTGATGTCACACAAAATCGAAGACTTACAAGAGAAAACTGATAAACTGGTCGAAAAAGCAGCAGAGACAGGACTCCAGGTGAACATAGACAAGACGGATGTTATGAAAATAACCAACCAACAACAACAACAGCAACATCCAGCGCCAATCACCATCAACGGGAGGGATTTGAAAGAGGTTACTTCATTCACTTTTCTAGGGAGCATTGTCTCAACTACACGAAGAACGGACGAGGATGTCAAATCGAGGATTGTTAAGACGAGAAACACATTCATCAACCTGAAACCAATCTGGAAATCTTCGTCACTCAGCCTGCATCAACAACAAAATTCGGATTTTCAATACAAACGTCAAGTCAGTCAGTTCTTGCATACGGATCAGAAACTTGGCGGGTCACAAAGAATATTTCCAACAGCCTGTTGCAGACCTTTATCAACAACTGTCTTCGTTCTATACTCTAGATCAGATGGCCGGAAAGAACAAGAACCAACAAGAAACAAACTAGGGGAAGAAACAAAACAAGAACCAATCGCTCAACAAATATGCAGGAGAAAGTGGAGATGGATTGGACACTCGCTGAGGAGGCCGTTGGGTGACATCGCGCGTCAGGCTATAGCTCGAGTGGAACCCGAAAGGGAAGCGGTAATTGGGACGCCCAAGGGTGACATGGGGGAGATCGTGTGAAGAGGAGTTGAAACAGTATGGAATAACATGGATGCAGGTGAAAAGTACAGCAGAAGACAGAAACAAGTGGAGACGTGCAGTTGAAGCCCTATGTTCCACTAGGAACCCTATAAATAAATAAATACAATAAATTAGTAAACAAATGCCAGTGATTAGTCAATCTAACCCTTAATAATTCTACAGTAATACTTCTGAGTAATTGCTTGTCACTAGACAAAATAGTAAGTGCTATACTATAACAGTAACTACAATCCTAGACGTGATATGATTTGAAAAAGAAATACTATTGTTGACTAAAAATAAATAATAAAACTTAGCACTACACAACATTTGATTTAAAGAAGGAATCAGATTACCTTTCTAAATCTTTTTCCAATTTATCAACGTCTTCAAGCAAACTCTGGAATGAAGTGCACGATTTCTCCATAGCCACGACTGATGCATTTAGATTGTCGTGGTTATTCTGGAATACGGAAATACCATTTTTAATCCTACATAATAAACAAAGAGTCAAAACATACTTGGTTTCAGAGCAACTGCTACAATCAATTTTACTCAGTAGTGACGCCAATTGATTTGTTTTTCTTTCAACATCATCGTTTGGCTTATAGTCAAGTTTACAGTAGAAGGCGTTCAACAGTGTAGAAAGTCGAGTTTCTAGAGTAATATTGATAATGTAGCAACAAACTTTCAGCATGTAAGTCTTTTTCTACCCTCTTTTCAATCAATTCAATAGCTCCATGAGTACTTTTGTGCATTTCCTTGCGTTTTTCATCAGAAATATCTATTGCAGATTTAAACTTCCTAAGTGATAGACCAGAAACAGCTTTTGGATTCTGAAAAGTTTATAAACTCACACGAATTTACCTGGGAAATCGAACTGAAATCCATTCTAAGCAAACGCAACTAGACCACGGAAGTATACTGACGAAGAAGAGGCGATGCAATTGAATGGAAAACACTATCTGAAGATAAAAACAGGAATCAAAATGATATTCCTCACTGAACATGAATGAAAAAGCTGTATTCATGCATTAAAAATAATAATAATAATAGTACACAATTTTTGTTTAACATGCAACAGGTTACAATATCTGAGTTCATGAATACTTCACAACCCCAGTCGAAGTATGTAAAACTTCAGCCAGTGAACATTTTCAGCTATCGAAATATAGTTAATCAGATGCGCATTGCGATATATTACAGTAAGTCTTTCGTGGTAACAGTAATTACGCATTATAAAGCGCAATGTGAGTGTTAAGGATAAAAGTGATTAACCTATAAGCTGACAGACTAGAAACGATGAAAACAGTTGGTCTTCGACATGTTATAATCAAGAATACCAGCCAATCAACTGACGAAAACATGAGCGAGAAGTGTCAGTAACTTGTGTTTGTAAAAGAGTAGGTTTTACACAATCAGCTTCATAATTCATGAGTTTTAACGTGGCTTCATTGTCACCTGTCTCAAGATAATTATATCATTACATGTCTACCTTCTGGAGCAACACACAGACAAACAAGGTTTTATCTTCTTCCATGATACGAAAGCCAAACACTGTAAGCTCGTTTGTCAAAGAGCGTACTAAACAGCAGTTGACATACCAGTATGAAGTAACACTTCAAAAACTTCATATGACATGCTCGTAAACCATCAATATTTCTCAGGCGAACATTATGTCCGGATACACATACTGCCAACCGAGTGAGAAGGGCACAGACAGGCCAAAAAATTAATTCGACAACACTCAAGAGAGTGTGCTAACATGATACTAACAACAAGCATATGGAATTGATAGAATGACGGACACAGTTACACACCCATCTTAACTACCAAAACACTACATGACTCTAGTTCTTGTGGGTCATTCCTACAGCTGCTTATAAACGACTGAAATTTTGCGACTTCAAAGGGGATGTACTAAAACAATTCTTATCAATATGCATACGTGAATGTACTGCATATGCATACTCGGTAAGAGGAAACAACAGACACCAAAGTCAAACGACCTTCAGTCAGATCGCTCAACATTACAAATGAACACTGTTCATAATAATCCTTGCAAGTTTCACCTAGATTTGGTTTTTGACTTCTGTGTGGAAAACAGGTTGATAGGGAAGACTATAAAACTTGATATGTGGAGGGACAATGGCTTTGCAAAAGTAGTGCCGGGATTTCTGTGGTCATACATTTAGGTACAACATCTGTTAGATGAGTAAGTCTGTAAGTGTTGGTTAGTCGTAAATTATGGTGATTTTTTAGGTACCTTCCTCTTGAAATCGAAACTCCCCCTTAGTAAAATATGATAAATAGCTACTTAGATGAATTTTTGTATCGACACTGGTTTTATATGTCCGCAAACACTCCTATGAGTTACTGAGACCGATTTCTATAGTATATTAGGGATATACACCCTGTATAATTCATTTTTGTAACATATTATAAATACATTTTTCAGTAGATTAAATACCAACTTTACACGCAGAACCTACGTGGTTTTATCAAGGTCGTGTGTACTCTTTACAGTTGCCGTATACTCATGTACTGATGTTTACTTGTTATAGACGTTACTACAACTATAAATATTTGATTATGAAAATGGCAATAGGAAGGTTCTGAGTGGCTTATAATTGGGTCGACCTCTACTGGTCTAGATTTCGGTACGACAATTTTTCACATATGTTAAACTAGTCTCTACATATAAATCCAGTTTATGAGGTAAAAACAGCTCTACAGAGTGAGAACAGCAGCAGTGCATACAGTCGTGTGAAATTATACAACCTTTAGACCTTGAATGAGACAATATTTAACAGTAGTACGGACTTACAAACCTAACTTTCGAAGTCAGCGGAAGTTACGAAACACGCGGAAAATTACATTGCACCCTGACAATTAATAACGGAAAGAAGAAAAATCAGACTGAAATTTACCAGTGTTATTCTAACACATTTTACTCCCCCATTGAAAGAATCAGTTTCCGTACTGAAAACATAAGGTCTTAACTGTATGTCGCTGTCTAATTTATCAGCTTGTGTAGAAATTTTGTATAGGTCGAAAGAATAAAAAATCATAATCACTTGAAGCTAGCAAAAGTAATTCTTCAGGAGAGCAAATCATTCTCACTTTTTTCAGAGTTTTGTTTCTTCATGCGGATATATCACACAACATCTGAGACACCTGCTCAAGGGAAATTTGAACCGGGTTAGAGAAACGTTTTCTTCAATTCAAAAGTTCACTCACACTGCTCTGGTATTATGCAGATATGTTTGAGAGATACGCTGAGATAGAAATTTACTGCAGTTTAAACTCACCTACATTTTACAAGAAGCTTAATTGTGGACATACCCTCTAAAGTAAAAATGACTAAGAACTGGGGATCGTGTATCTCGTAGTCAGTCATCTCACCTGCTTGCACCCAGACAATATCATCATCTCTACCAATAACAAACCTTATATTTTGCATTCTCTGCATTATAATACTGACTCAGCTTGGAGGCTAAATAAAGCCAATCCGCAGTGCGTATTTTACGCGATTTATTACAGTTTCCTTTGGAATCAGAAATTATTCATACTGAAATTCAGATCAAGTATTAAACGCAAATGGTCCCACAATAGCACACATTATCAATGCCTTAATGTCCACAGACATATTGTCACTTGATGTGCGAAATTCGAACTGTATGAACATTCATAGCATATGTATATAGATTTCCTTAGGCTGCTTCATCCATAGGGAGGCTTCGCTCATATTCTCATAGAGACTGACAGCTTCAACCAGGGCGATCGTCACGTCAGATATTGTTCTGACTATTCTAGGTCGTTAATTCTCCAGTCTCTGTGTGTCATCGACATCTACTTCAGATAAACCGAAAACTCCCAATCAATCTTATCCTGAGGATTCCGGACAAATCACGTGTTTACGGATTCGTGCCAACAAGCAGCGGACGAGTTCCTGGAAAGATTCCACAAGTAAATTCGAGGTTCTATGTAGCATAACGTGACACTTTTAAGTAAAGTTCGTTTCTCCACTTGATTAGACCAAACTATAAAGAGAGGTTCGAGACGCTTACCTACATTTTTTGTGATTGTATTAACTTTGCCAGTGAATTTAGTTCCTCATATTCCTCACCAGAAGGAAGTCATTTCAGAATTCATCTGTCGAGTCGCCTCATATGCAGACAATAGTTTCTCTACAGTCTTCTCAGAATGGGTAGATCAGTGAGCATCTAACACTAAAAGATGGCTTCCATTTATGTGAAAATAATCAGAAAATTGCTGCAACTACCCGGCGAAGAGAATTCACAAGTAATTAACCTGGAAGCGAAATCTTTCATTACAAACGGAAATGGGAAAAAGCATCGATTAACGCTATTCAAATAGGTTTGCCATTCACTGATGGCGAGCATGAGGCCTTACTCAAATTAACGCACATGCGCACTTCTACAATAAGACTGCAGTCATATGGACCCCCCTTGTTCTCTTTTACAATACCCTGTCCGAGGCCTTAGTCACCTTCTACTGAATGCTCAAAACAAACTAGAGCTACAGAGGAAATAGTTCATACTTTGCAGGGCCGAATAAGATACTTTAAATACTCCGTGACTTTCAAGCCTGACATGCATCCTATCAACTATTACATTACCTTCTGGGGTTCCTAATACTGCCAGTTGGTTACCCCAGGCGTTCAGACTTCTCAAAACCCTTCATATACTCACTGACTCAACTTAAAGAACTCAGATAAAGCTAAAGGACAGTAGGAGTCATCAGTAAAATATAGGAATCCCATAATAGCGTTAAGTAAAACGTCGTAATTCGGTGTACATCAAGATAGGTCAACACAAGTGACCTCACAGAAGTTTTAAACGCCAGATTAGTCTGAACGCCACTTCAGACACAGGCATTCGAAGCCTTTCTGATACATCCTGTGGTAGATATTGTCATGCTGTGCAGTTATAAAGGTCTTTGCGATTTCGAAGAAGGTAATGCGGACCGGAAAATTCATATCTAAATGTGATGTCGGGTCGTAGTGAAAATGAATTTCTTGCAATGTCACATGAGTATTGTATTCCATCTTGCCGAATTGAAAAGAATTTGTCTGAGCGGCTGACTGACCGGTCATTGGTGTAATGGTTACGACTGCAACCAACTGCATTGAAACCGCTGCCCCGATAATTTTGTCAGATTCACTTTTTATTCAGTAAGTGTCAGTTTTCATCCACTATGGGTACAGGATTGCTCTCCTATTTTTTATCCTCTATCAGTAGTATCTGTTTGCAGGATGCAGTTTTTTAAGGATAGAGTCAACCAGCATTTAGTACAATAACTATGATAACACTTATCCATACCTGTAAAACTGGTGTGTCCTACATAGAAAGGAATAAATATATGTTATTGTTGTGATCTCTAACAGGGTCAGACTGCACAAAATTCACCGTCGGCTTCAGAAAATTATACGGCGTGATACCGCAAACAGCGGTGCATTGAATTTTGACTTAAGTTTTTAACAGTGACACGCTTTTCCTAAAATTTGACTGCCCAGAGTGCGATAATAGTAATGAGCCTTGTAGCTATACGAAGCTTGAACATCCTACAAAACTACTGGAAACACATGTTGTTATCAGACACGTATGAATATTAGCGCCTTCGATAATGAACTAAACCTACTGTTTGATAGTTGAAAATATTGCCCTGGTATTCCACTGGCTGAAATCCAAATATTGGTATTAGTGAGCCATTGTCCTATATACCCAATAGGTAGAAGGCTGGATGAAATTTTAACTTTGCATTCGCTTCGGTGGTTCGGTCAAAAATGAAAAAATATATATCTAAAGCCATTTGCGAGAGGATAGTCGACCTGAAACTGCTTCGTGTATAATCTATCTAGTACTTCA